ACACACATATCACACACAAACATAGACATACACACACAGGCACACACGTAGATACACACAGACACACACAGACACAAACATACATACTCACCCTGATGCAAACGTCAATGACTTATGAGCCACCGCTCACCCCAATGCATTTTTCAGCACACATCTCCAGTCACCAGAATATCACAGCCAGGGCCTGACTTTGATTTAAAAACTTCAACTTCCTGTAATCATCTCACTACTAATTCTTGTTTCTTTGGTAACAAATGTCATCCATATCTCCAGTCTTAAATTTCTTTTTATTGATTTTATTTTATTATATATGGGATGTTCTATAACTTACTCTATAGTATAGCCAAGCCTCCAGCTCATTATCCTCCTGCCTCAGCCTTCTGAGTGCAGTAACACAGGTGTGTATCACTATGCTAGCTCTGACCCTAATATTTACAAGCCATTCTTCTTTTTTAAAGGAACACTTTAATTAACTAATAAATAATTTATTTATTGTATATGACACAGCACTCCTGTGGAGATCAGAAGGCAACTTTGTTGTTGTTGCTTTCCAAGACAGGGTAGCCTTGACTGTCCTGAAACTCTGAAGACTAAGCTGGCCTCGAATCTACAAAGCTCCACCTGCCTCTGCCTCCTGAGTGCTGGGATCATTGCCGGGATCAGAAGGCAACTTTTGAGAACCAGTTTTCTTCTTCTTCTTCTTCTTCTTCTTCTCCTTCTTCTTCTCCTTCTTCTTCTTCTTCTTCTTCTTCTTCTTCTTCTTCTTCTTCTTCTTCTTCTTCTCCTTCTCCTCCTCCTCCTCCTCCTCCTCCTCCTCTTTCTTCTTTTTTAAAAAAGAAGTGAATTTCTTTTTTAAAAAAAAGTAAAAATGTGAGTCTGGGAATTGAACTCAGAATATCAAGTGCCTTAACCCACCGAGCCATCTTTCCAGCCCTTTTAAAGCTATTCTAAGATATTATAACCAGGAGGTGGGGAGAAGACTCAGTGGTCAAGCGCACGGGCTGCTCTTGCAAATAGACCCAAATCCAATTCGCAGCACCCACATGACAGCTTACAGCCATCCATAACTCCAGTTCCAGGGGATCTGACGCTCCCTTCTAGCCTCCTCAGGCACAAAAATATTAAACAGACTTACATGCAGGCAACACATCCATACACATAAAAATAAAAATTATATATATATATATATATATATATATATATATATAT